ATTATATCTAAAAAATGTCAGAAATAAATCCTAAATTGATCTTCCTATAATTACCTTTGTGAATCAATCAATTGTTTCTCACTGGTTACATATCTCATAACCATATTTTCTTTTTCTTTATTAACCGCAGCGCATTCCTTCTTCAGAGCTTCTTGCGTTTCCAGCGACATGTTCAAGTCGATTGTTAATTGATTTACAGTTCTCTGCAAGTTCTCCACTTGTAAGATAAGTGCTTCTGTAGTAAGTGCGTTTGTTTCGGTTTCTTGAAACGAGTTGTTGGATCGATTGAACTTCTTTAAATATTCCATTCTATTCAGTAGTTTTGAATGCTCGAGTTTTAAACTGGTATAATCCTCCCATAGAACAAGATATGACGGATGTTCTAATGAATCGTGTTTTAAAATATTTGAATCTAAAATATCAATACCAGACGAGTCTTCTTTATATGCGTCGTCGCATAACTCGTCCGTCTGTAGAAAACTTTTATTTTCATCCGTTTCTCTCAACGACATATCGCGTTTTACTTGTTCATCGATTACATCACAATCTAATCTATCGTCATTGTTTTTAAGTACATAATACATTTTCTCATCCGATATTACTTTATTCTCAATATTGTTATTATGTAATAGTTGTTCTCTAGAATCATATCTTTTATCATCATATATTTTATCTTCTTTCATACATGAAGATGGATTTATCTCTTTTTCATTATTTATTACAATATCCAAATTATTTTCGCTCTTATAATTTTGTTTTATCGTATAATTCATATCATTCCTTGCTTGATTTGTTGCTGAATTTACATATAATCTAGGAATTACATCAGTCAAAGAAGATACGTTATTGGTATAAAATCTCGCAGAATCACTTTCGACAGATTTCGATATGTGATTGTATTTCATTGCCAAATGCTGTGGTAGTAAAGCTTTTTCCATGATGTTCGTCGACTTTTCTGTAATGAAGTTTAAAAAATTACGGCTTTTATTTAAAAGTTGAACATTCGACTGCATTATATTCATTGGATTCGTTAGAAGAGACATTTTTACGAGTTTGCTATCATCAGCCAATGTCGGTCGAGAGATTGAACCTCGCGTGTTAACACTTAGTGCCGCAGTTGAATTCGATTCATTCTTCTTGCATATGTCTATCTCAACTTGATTTCGCTCATTTTTAATCTTGTTATCATTTAATTGTAATTGTGAATCTATTGTTTCTTCGCCAAATTGTTTTATTTCGGATACATTATTTTCTGACACCTCTTCTTTAAGATAATCTTTCTCATGTTCCTCTTCTGGATCATTCTGACTCGCATTAATATTCTTTTCGTTTAAGGAATGCTGTGAATGAGATAAAGGATTTTTCATCTCGCTTAATCGATTAAATAATGTCTCTTCTTCATCAGTGTAAGCTTTTATGTTTTCCTGTATATGTATATCATTTCGAAACACGTTAGCTTTATTTTTGACTAAGTATGAATCCAAAGATGATATCGCAGGTAATGAAGCACTTGTACAGTGAGAAAATGAATTGCGAAGAGATTCATCATCATATGAAAGGCGACTCTCGCTGCTAGACAATTGGCAAATTTGAAGTTTTGTGTTAGGAATATCATTGATGGATTTATCCTTTTCAAAAGTGATGGCTGAGTTGATATTGTCCACTGAACAATTCGATTTTATTTTTTCATCGTTTTTTCTTGATAACTTTGAATTACTTTTATTTTCAAACATGTTGCTTCCACAATAATCACTCCGAACTTGTGAAATGTCATTCTGTATTGTCATTCCTGATGCAAAAATACATTGTTATCATTTTCTTCAAATTAATAAACTTAAAAAAATGAGAGGGAGATACAAAATAATTTAGTAAACTAACAGTAAGAAGTATGTACTATCCATAGTCTAATTTATTACTGGCATAAATTTGTGTCAATTTGTAAATAAGTATTATTGTAATGTAATCAACACTAGCAGAAACTCTGATTTTTAATTATACACAAATAATTTCATTTAAAAAATCAGTATTATTATTATTAACATAGTAATCTCATTTTCAATATTATGCTCTTAAAACAGAAGCTGTGTGTGTGTGTGTGTGTGTGTGTGTGAGTGTGTGTGTGTGTATCTTGTGAATCGTTTTTTGTTTATATCTCTATTCTATACATGTATTTTATAATTAATTATGATAATCTAAATGCTTTAGAGTCTTGAAAGCCAAAGGAAATAACAGCATATCTTTTAACATTCTATATCAGATAAATACACTTAATATACTCCAAGGAATTACTTAAGACTCGCACAAATACATTCTCTATCTCTTTTTTCCCCTTCTTTCTCTTTTTCTTTCATATATATTTTTTGTTTTTATCTCGATATTATAAATGTATTTTACGATCAATTATGATAATCTAAATGCTTTAAAGACTTCAGTTAAAAGAAATAATAGCATATATCTTTTATATTCTATAAGATAATATACTTAATACTGCAATAGGAAATAATTTGACTTGCACAAGTCTTTATGCGACTCAAATATTTCAGTCAAGTATTTTTTTCTTAATTTAATAATAACACTGAAAATAATATTGGAGACTAAAGAATTATGAGACTAAAGAAACAGCATTGCTTAAACATTTCAGCTTAAGCACTACATTCTTTCACCATTGACATTTATCTGGAATAAATGACTTTCTTCCAATACAGCTGTTCAATTTGACTTGACATATGCACGTCAAAACGGAACGTCACGTGTTCCTGGGCTTGATTTGTACCTTCGAGCAGACGAACATCGTGCCTCATGAAAGAACTGACTTTGTCGTCCACGACAAAATCTGTTTTGTCCTCAAAAGAATCTAAATTCTCGCCCATGCCGATCGAGACTTGCCTGATTGAATCTAATCTCACGACTTTGCCGTGTCCGCAAGTACGAGCCCAACGAGTCCCGGCATTATGGGACAGGCCATGAGATGCATTCGAGATTCTCTATAAAATTAGAAAAAGTATACCTACGCACGAGGAGTCGCCCGTCAACCTCGATTATACACAACAATCAATGAACAATCACGCATAACTGTCAATAATTGTCAATTCCTGCCCCCAGGTGGCGAATTACACGCGTGCGTCGTCATGAAGCACGTCAAGAACTACCACATGACTAGGGTCCATCTGGATTGCGTTCCAAAATTCAACTCTGTCAACTCGAGTATTATTTTATCCTTGTTGGTCATTAAATGTTGAATAAAGCTAAAGGATTACTTGGAGTTGATAGAGTCAAGTTTTGGAACGCATCCCTGAAGATGCGATCCCTTTGACGCTACAAATGCTTCGAAACTTTTGATTAACCAATCAGAAGAAAGAATTTTATTAACTGACCAATCAAAAAATACTTAGAAGCATTCATAGCATCAAGTAGACTGTAATCTGAATCACAAGAAAAAGAGTACGTATATTTTTTTTTAAAACGATGATAATGCAAAGACGGAAGGAAAGGCTATAATTTTTCTCTACATTTTAAATCCAGGTATTTAATAAAATAAAATCCCTACAACTTAATTTTTATTGATAATTTTTATTAATATAATTTTATAAATGTAATATAATATTTTAATTAATGACCAGGAGCAGTCGAAAGAGTACACGTACTCTTAAAAAAAAAGTATGGTTGGTAACCCTACGTGACCGATAACCACAATAAACTCAAGTTTTGATTTTTGCTTTATGTAGTTCAATTTGTTATTGAACCATGCGTCTGATTATTATATATTTCGTTGTGTAATTACAGAAAATACAACGCAAGGTTGGATCGTAACAACTAAACTTTTAGCACTTTTCATTCTCTTTCTCTCCTATGTTACATACGCAGTCGTTACATTGAACAAGTGGTAATACTCGATTTGACTGTTTATAACATATTGATAACATACCGTTGTTGATTACGATAAAATAACAAGTATAAAATCATCTACAAAACAAAGAAAATTAACATCATGAGTTTACGCTGGAAGATATTTTGGGAAATGAGACAAAGGTATTATTATATATATTTATATTAGTTTCATCCTTTGTAAAATAACATTAACTGGAATAATATTATTTTTATGTGTAGAGACTTTCCTAAAATTTTATAGATTATCAATTAATTTTTAGATCACAAATACCATCACTGCAAGTGATGGTAAGAAATTATAACACCTGTAAGGAATGTTCCACAGAAAAGAAGTATGGATCTTCTAAGAATATAAAAAATCCTATGTTATATACAACCTGTATTGCTGTTGCTGCATCAGTTTTAGGTATATCTTACTATACTCTAAAGTACAAAAGAAATGTTTATGCTTTCAACGCGACGCAAAATATAAAATATGGTCAATTGCAAAAGGACATGAAGACTTTTACCTTAGAAGAAGTGGGAAAACACGATAGCAAAGAGAAAGGAATTTGGGTTACTTTCGGACAAGGTGTATATGATATAACAGAGTTTGTCGATAAACATCCAGGTGGTCCTTCAAAAATTATGATGGCTGCTGGAGGATCCATTGATCCATTTTGGATGATGTTTGCAAATCACAATACATCAGAAATACATTCCTTGCTGGAATCTATGAGAATTGGAAATATATCAGAAGAAGATGCCAAATCTAATAAAAGCAATCTGTATGATCCATATGCAAATGAGCCTGTTAGGCATAAGGCTTTAAAAATCAATGGCAATAAACCCTTCTGTGCAGAACCGTCACCTTCACTATTAGTTGAGAGTTTCCTTACACCTGTGTAAGTGTATTATTCAATTAGCTTTTTCTTTATGAATATTTAAATACAAATTTCAATTAGCATACATTATACTACATTGCATTCTATTTTTTTAGTCCATTTTTTTATGTAAGAAATCATTTGCCTGTGCCTGAGATAGAATTAAAGGATTATACACTAGAATTGGCGATAGAAGGGACAACTAAAAAAACACTCGATTTCAAGGCACTAAACAAATATGAAAAGAGAACGATAACTGCAGCTGTAATGTGCGGTGGAAATAGACGTTCAGAAATGTCGAAGGTAGGTCAATAAGGAATTATTGCTCAGGTTGTTCACATTAATACATAATACTGAATTCACTTACAGGTAAAACAATTGAAAGGTATTAATTGGAACGTGGGCGCTGTTGGCAATGCAACGTGGACAGGTGTACGATTGTGCGATGTATTAAAAGATTTAGGAGTCAATGAAGATGCATTTAATCACGTTCAGGTATTTTGCAGTGTAAAAGTAATTTATTTTTTATAATATTATTATTGAATAAAATCCTAAAAGTTATATGCTAATTTCAATTACATTTAACACATCTTATGCATATAAGCAATTTATAATTTATATTAAAAACATTATTTTATCAATTACATTAAGAAAAATATTTTCTTATTCACTAGTTTGAAGGATACGATCTAGACCCATCTGGCATGCCATATGGAGCAAGTATTCCGATTTCCAAAGCTATAGATCCTAGAGCTGATGTGATCTTAGCTTATGAAATGAATGGTGAAACGTTAAGCCAAGATCATGGATTCCCTGTTCGAGTAATCGTTCCTGGTGTCGTGGGTGCGAGAAATGTAAAATGGCTGAGTATGAAATATTTCTAAAATCTTAATATAACGTGCATAATTACTGGATTTGTATTTAACATCAAATTCATTCAATAGGTAAAATTAATATATCAAAGGAGGAGAGTCAATCGCAGTGGCAACAGGGTGACTACAAGGGATTTTCTCCGAGCACGACTTGGAACAACGTAGACTTCAATAAATCGCCCGCAATACAAGAAATGCCTGTAGTATCGGCGATATGCGATCCGCAAGATACAGACACAATCGAAATTAAAAATGGAAAAATTCAAGTAAAAGGTAAATATGAAAACAAAATAAAATTTAAAACATCAATTTCATTATGTTTGTGACGAGTATTATATTCTAAATGTCTTAAATATTTATAAAATATAATTACTATTTTATCAGGTTACGCTTGGTCTGGCGGTGGTCGAAAAATAATTCGTGTTGACGTTACAAACGATAAAGGTGAGAGACAAGAAAACGAGATTAATATCAGTTAATTATTTTATTTCTTTAACTGCATTGAAGAGCGCACTTCAACACTATTATATCATTTTATCTTTTATTATGTCTAATAAATGATAAAAATAAAATGATACAAGCGCTGATAAAACTCCAGCTTTTTAATAATCTTTTATTGATTTTCTGTTTGATTAATAGGTAAAACTTGGCATACAGCAGATCTGACAGAAGATCTTCAGGCAAATGAAGGTCGGCACTGGAGTTGGTCATTATGGAACGTGGAACTTCCTGTGGATAAAAAATCGAGAGAAGTTGAAATCTGGGCGAAAGCTGTTGATTCATCATATAATGTACAACCGGAAAGTTTTAATAACATCTATAACATTCGAGGATTGCTCTGCAATGCGTATCATAAAATTAAAGTACAATTAAAGCAATGAAAATTGACTTTCCGTTAATCATTGTGTGATACATTCTTTTAAGTCTTTAAGTTCTTGCAAATCAAGAATTCTTTCTATTTTATAATAAAATTTGTGATATTAGATTGTGATATTCAAAAACACTTTGCATCAGATATACTTAGAGAAAATTATGATTATTCTCTTGTTTTAAATATTTTGTTCTTCAAATATTCTTTTCTCCAAACAATGATCAAAGTAATAACTTTAGAAATTGTTATAATAATAAGATTGGAAACAAGACGATTTAATATAGGAATATATCTAAATATGAGAAGCGCCAATTTTCTGTCGTTTTATTTATACATATATATGTATGTAAATGAATTTATCTCAGAAATATAATGGCGCTACTATTTATTATATGTAATTAAGTTTCCATTACTACTAGCGGATTTTCAACAAAAATATTGAAATAATTTTTTCCCCAAATATTTCAAAACCTGTAAAGAACTTATTGCGAAAATTATTACCTTGGCTGAGATGAAATTGTTATATTTTACAATGAATTGATATCATATAATTATAATTGTTATAAAGTTTTTAATTTTGTAAGAAAAATGTTTAATAAAAAGTTTAATAAAATTCGTGAAGTCAAGAAACTTGTAGTGATAAACTAATGTTTTTTTATTTACGTTCACATAAACAATAAAATGCATTTTAAATAAGATATATATAGTTTTAATAAAAAAGATTCTAATTTCTTTTTCTCTTCCATATTTTTATATATAGATATATTTTATATATAGAT